AAAAAAAAAATTTGAACAAAAAACAGCATGTTTTTTTAGATACGGAAGGTTTTTTTTAATTTATAGTACATAACATAAGATTTAATTTGACTTATGTTTAAAGGACGAAGTATTTCCGGAACAAAATGCATTTTGAAAAAATGGACTTTTGTGAAAAAGTTGTTATTTTGAATCCCCCCTATGAGCAAGTAAAAGATCAAATTTAAAAGAAATTTATATCAAATGAAAGGGAATTGCTTAAGGATTCAACTTATAAAAATTATTTTGGTTCATTCATTTTTCAATAAGTTATGTCAATTTTTAGAAAAAATGTCAAATTTACCGATTTTAAAAATCGTAATTTTTTTAGAGATTTTTTAACATTTACAAGGAATGAGTTAAAAATTTTTAATATTTGAGAGTAATGTCATTAACTTGATACGATTTGTGATCTTTTGATGTATCGTTAAAAGTAATCGGTCAGTGAGAGCTGATGAAAAGAGGCAACAGACACAAAACAAAAACACATCATGGTAAAATTAATACCTTCTTAGCATCACATCGAAACTAAAAAATGTTTAATTCTCATTCACATATTTTCGTTGCTATTTTATTATTATTAATTCATTGATATTTTTTTAGAGTGCAGTTGTTGTTTCGAGGCTATATCTAATAAAACTGAAACTATTAAACATTGCAAATCCATATTTTGTAAATCATGTATTCTAAGTTCACTAAAAATAAAAGGAAATACGAACTGTTTAATTTGTTCTGTAGATGTAATAACTACTAGTAATATATTTGTAAACACACATTAAAATAAAATTTCAATCTAATTCTGTAAAATTAATTTTATTACATACATAATACTTAGAATCGTCCTAACTTGCGTGATACTAATATATTCCATTTATTCTATATATTTTTGAAAACATAACATTATACTAAACAAAATTTGGTATAAAAAATGTCTTTTTTTTTAGTTTTTTAAATGAACATAATTTTTTTATGACATACAGTTTATTGGGGAGTTGTTAAATAAATTTAGTTTTATATAATACTTTTAAGAGGCGAACTTTCTCCAAAGAGTAATAAAATTTAGTTTTAAATGGTAATTTATAAACATGACCTAATTAAGGAACCAAAATAAGTTCAAAGGAGGTCACATAGTATTTTTATTTTCTGTAATAATTTTTTCAAAATTTTCTAAAAAATAATTCAATACACATATAGCAGAATTGTCAAAAACCGAAATTATTATGGTTCCTAGCCCTGTCCAATTATAACATAAGGTTGACAAAGTTAATTTTTATCTAATTCCGTTTGCTAGTTCAAATTATAAAAATAACTCAATTTTTAATAAGTTAATGAAAACATATTGATGTTTACAGGTATGCCCTACTTACATAGCAATATTTTGAACTTTAACTAAGCACTAGATTTTGTTTAAAGTAATAATATTTTAAGAAAATTAGTTTGGATATTTTTTAGTTTCATCATTTTTATTTCTTGATTTATTGGTTATTAATTACTTTTTTAATCCATCAATTTTTTTATATGAAACTAGAATAAATTTTGGTTAAAAAATACGGTAGCTCAGTAGGGTTGGGGCGCATTATTGACGTGGCATAGTTGGAACAAGTATAAATGATATCTGACAGTGATTAAAATTACTATCATAAGAAACGTTCGTTGATAATTTGTAGATAGGGCTTAATTTTAAGAAGATGGTGGATTAAATTATTTTGATCAGAGTCAAAAATGTACTTTTATTATACAATTTTTCGTGGTAATTTCAAATCAGAAATTATATTTTTTCTATCACCAATAATTTTTTAATTTATTACTAATTAGTTAAAAACTATAGACTTTAACAATAAAGAAAATAGCAAACCATATTTTGGTGATATTGTAAACTCATAATATGTGAAATACATGTACAAAAGATAACATTACATTATAATATGCTAATATTATAGTTAGGCTTTCATGCACTAATCATTTACGTCAAAATAACTTGCTATTTATGAATTAAATTCTAGCATATAGTTTTTAAAATGTATCTTATAGTTTAATTAATTAATTACAAAATATAATTTATACTATAATTTATGAAAAAATGAAACATTTTAGCATGTCATTTATGTGATTCAATAATTCCTGAAGATCATGGAAAAATTTATTTGACAAAATGTTGTAAAAAAGATTATGCTTTTCATGTTTTGAGAAATATGCATTTTCACTGTATAGTGTTTGTCTATGTTGTGAGTTCTATCATGGAGAAGGTATTATTTTAGTTCTTATCAACCTATTAAGAAAAATTAATACTAATAGTGTGAATTCATAAATAAATTTCCATAAAAAATGTTCATTAACTAATCTACTTATTTCTAAAATGTTTTAGGTATTCGATTTAAAATAATAATATTAAAAAAGAAATGTAAAAAATGTAATACCAATAAAGGAAAATATAGCCTTTACCCTTTTTGTCCGGACTTGTATTGCAAGGATTGCATCAAAACAATAAACAAAGAAAACCACATTTGCAAACATTGAAAATACATTTCTATTATAATTTTTTTATCTTAGAAAATTCTAAGAACTTACTTTAACTAACACATTGAAAAACCTTAAAAAACTATGTTGTTATAATAATTACATTGAAATATAATTAATTATACTCTCTTATACATACATATATAATAAAGGTTATTAACAAACGCGTTACTTTTTTTAACAACATACAATGTATTTACAAATACAAATGATTTTTAAAATGTATTTATAAAATAAATGAAGCTATTAATAATTTTATTTAAATAAGGAGAAGTTAAAGCTTATGTTATGCACTATAAATTAAAAAAAAAAAATCGTCTTGACTGATCTTCTACGTGCAAATGGCTACCATAGTTAAAACTAAATATTCAAGAGTATCCGCCCAAACCGGGGACCCGTGAGGAAGACCGAGTGTACGACGCTGACTAAAAGTCTGCGCCACATCTCCCTTGGCCCTCCCAGATTGGGCATGAGTGCCGCCAGGCATATCATGGCTTTCTGGGCTCACTAGGCCGCAAGAGTAATGTGCGGCCCGAACTTTAGACGTTTGTTTATGACAAGGCCCAGATAAGTCATGGAGTTCTTAAGCGGGATCTCCACCCTCAGCAAGTGGGTGGAGTGAACTTGTAACAGGTTTGACTCTTGGGCCCGCGGCGCTCTCGTAGGAGATGACCCGATCGCTAAAGTACAACCGGATCATCCGCCCGAGGTAAGGAGGCACCCGAAATGCGTCCAGTGCTCCGAGGATGTGTGACCATCGCACGGAGTTGAACGCGTTTCGGATGTCCAGACTCAACACCATTGTTTTTGAAAGTGTTCCGGAAAGTCAAATACTTTTATATATATCTTAAATTAAAGCTAATTTAATATACTTTATCATAAACAAAAAAAAAATTTCGGACTTTAGATTATCTTCATTGTGAATATGGCTACCGAATGATTTTTTTTTTGAAATTCTCGATTTCATATTTTACATTTTTAATTTACGGTATTCACAAGGCAGCTGTGCCGACGTGCGATCACTGTTGAGTTTGCGGGTTGTGAAAGCTATTGGGTGCCTTTTACCATCCTGGCCTTCTTGTTCTAATATCCCCGAGAGTCCCTCTAAAGATGCGTCTGTCGTTAAAAACACAGGATAATCATCGTTAAAATGAGCTAGTACTGGTGTTGTAATTATAGTTTGTTCTAAAATATCAAAAGGCTCCTGGTGATTATCCTCCCAAACAAATTTTTTATCTTTTTTTGTTAAGTCCGTTAATGGACTGGCAATTTTTACGAAGTGTTTATTATTGTTGTTTTAATGAATTTCCTGTAATAGCTCGTTAAACCGACAAAAGCTCTGATATCTTTTATTTTATATGGTACTGGACATATTTTTATTGCTTCAATATTATTCTCTAATAGCGTAATACCTCTTTCAGAAATTTTATGTCCTAATAACTCTATTTCTGAACTAAAAAATAAACCTTTATTTGTTTTAAGTTTAAAGTTTGCCTCGTCTAGCCTAACAAAAAAATGTTCTAATCTTGACAAAGCTTCTTCAAAATCCCCACCAAACCAACATATATCATCTAAGTAGACAATTACTAAAAACATTTTTTATTATTCTTTGAAAAATTGGGCCTGAATTTTTAAAAACTTTGGGGAATTCTTTTGAATTGATAAAGTCCAAAATCTGTAATAAAACCAGTTTTGTACTTGTCTTCTTCTTTAATAAGACACTGAAAATAACTTTGTGTTAAGTCAAAGTTAGAAAAATATTTAGCTCCCTCAAGACTTTTAAAAAGATCTTGTGACCTCAGAATTGGGTATTTATCACTAATAGTTTATTCATTTAAATACACATTTTCTATAGTCTACTAGAAATCTATACACTCCCGTATTTCCTTTTGGTGTTAAAAATACTGCCACCGCGTAATTACTTCTGCTCGGCTCAATAATATCAGATTTTATCATTTCGTCAATTAGAGTTTATAATTTTTCTCGTTGAGAAGGGAACACACGATATGGCGGTTGAAAAATTGGTTTGTCTTATTTCGCACGGTTTAACATTAGCGCAGCCTATTTTAAGTGGATCTGATGTAAATAAATGTTTAAAACGCGTAATTAATTTTTTTTGCTTGTTCGCGCTGAAAACAATTTAAATGGTTAGATATTTTAATAATTGTAGCTTGATCGTCTCTCACGTCGTTGCCTAAACCGATACCGTTTGTATTTAAAATGTTATAATTCTTAAAGGCTGACGTAGCTTCTGTATACCCTACAATTACATATGCATTAATGAAATTTGAATAATTATTTATTTTTAGTTCTAAGTTTATTCTTCCTAACTGTTCTAACTCCGTATTATCTTCTTCTTCTTATGTGCCTTCACAACTCTGCAAGAGTTTTGGCTGCCACTGTCACCGACCTCCAATAATCCCTATCCTGGATCCTTTTCTCCCAATCTGTTGCTTCCAGTCTTTCTAGGTCCTGGCGCATTCCATCCATCCATCGTTTCTTTGGTCTACCTCTGGGTTTTTTACCAGTTGGTTTGTATTCAATTGACGCCCTTACTTCATTTGTTTCCTCTCTTCTCATCGCGTGTCCAAGCCACTGAATTCTCTGATCCTTCACATAGCTTGTTATATAAGGCACTTTGGCAATTTCCCTTATTTCTGCGTTTTTTCTTCTACGCCATCTATCTGTTGAGGTGTCAAACACTGGTCCACAAATTACTCTTAATATTCTATTCTCAAAGGTTCTGAGATTTTGTTCAATTTGTACTGTCATCGGCCATACTTCACATCCATAAGTTAACGTCGGCCTCACAATACTCATGTATAGACGTACTTTTGTTCCTCTAGAGAAATGTTTTACTTGAAATACAGGGTTTGTATAATAAGTAACCGGACTGACCTCATAAATTTTTTTATTGCTGCAATATTTACAATTTTCTTTCAGAAACTTTCATAGTTTAACTGTCTACATAAGTTTTCAATTTCTGTTACATAACTCATAACTGACTCTGACTCTTCCTGCCTACGTTTTTCCAGTTTATTTTCAATTAGAGTTAAAAAGCCTATTGGATGATATTCGTCTAGAAATTCGTTTTTTAATTCCTCATATGTCCAATTTGATTTTTTATCTTCTAAGTTTTCTAAAAATATACTAGCTGTCCTTTTTAAAAATATTAACAAAAATTTTATTTTATCACTCTCACTCCATCTATTAATTTCACTTGCCTTTTCATACTGCCTGAAAAATTTTCTCACATCTTCAGTATCCGAAATATAATCTGGTTTCATCAACCAAGATTGGTTATTAGACTCCATATTTGTAATATTTAAATTTATTGTTTCTATGCAATTAGTTAATGAAAGTAAGTCTAGAATTTTTCCCTCTGTTATGTCATTACGATTACCCGGTGTTTGTTCTTCTTTAAAGGTTCTATTTAAATCGTCTATTTCTTCATAAAAATGTTCTTTACCTGAACCCTCTAATTTATTTTGATCACACAATGAAGCGTTTTTAATATTATTATAAAAATAAAAATTTACCTTCTACACTTGGTTCTACGTTACTCTCTACGATTATTAGTTTATCATTACAAGAGGCATGAATAACTTGCTCAATTTCAGCTGGACTTAAGTTAGATTTTATATCTGACAGCTTAAGTTGCGCTCTAAAGTATCTAGCTAAACGTGTTCTTAAGTCATTTACGTTTCCTAATTCGTCTAAGTTTTTACTTTTACACAAATTTATAAGATCATCTTTTTTTAATGAATATATATCACTAATTTTGTTTAATTTAAATTTTTGAATTTCATTAATATTCATAATGAATCATATAATTAAGTAATCAAATTAATATTTTAGAAAGTCAAAATTAATTTTTATTTAAATTATTGAACTTTATTTTTTTATTATTATTAAAAAAAGATAAGATGTTTATATAAAAAAAATTTGTATAATTATAAAATAGTAATTAAATAAAATTAAAACTTAGATCTTTTAAAAATATGTAAATGGTTTTTTGTTTTTGTGGTCAGTTCATTAAATAGGTCAGTCAATTGTGATATTCCGTCGTCTAAAATATTAATGAGTTCCTGGTCAGAAAATATTATGTTAAAAACAAATGTATCTAATTCTGAATTAGTATTATCCCCAAAAATTTCTTTTAGTTTCTCCTCTATGTTCTCAATATTACTCATACTATAGACATATGAGAAATTATACATACACACATAAAATTTTTTTTCTCTTTTGGGAGATTTTTAAATTACTAAATTTAATAACTAAATAAAATTATTATAATAAAAGCTTTTATTATACTAAAATCGACGTAATTCAATACTACCTCAGATATTTACTACAGACTTTATCGTCTTTTAGTCATTCTTGTAATAAATTGTGACTTGATGGTTTGATAAAAGTTTATTCAAGATTATATATTGCTGTTATGATAAATTACGAAAATTACCAAGAGTTGAAAAACTACAACTAACATTCACTTTATTTGGTGTATTTAACAACAAAATAATTTATATATTGACTTTTTATACATAAATAATAAGTAAATCAAAAGATTGTTCAGATTATAACTTATGTACAATATTATTTAAAAAAATTTTAGTTCTTACAATTTTGTGTGTGAATCTATTATTTCACGCGCTTAACTAAAAAATCAATGAAAAATGTACTGTTATTCAAAATTTATGAGTTTTCAAACTTTAGGCCTTTTGTGGCACGAGTTAATCTTTTCTGATTTACCTGAAACATTGCGTACCTCATTTTTATAAGTATTGAAACTAATTGAGATTGTATAATTTTTAAATATTACTACATTAATTTTAAGAACCACCCTAATATATATATAAACAAATTTTTATTTTTTATTATTAGATATAAACATTTAAAGATTCAATTTTTTTTAGTTAATATACATGTATAATAAAAAGGGATTACAAACAGATATCATGAACCCATAATTGTTTTGTAAATTTTAATTTTAAGGAATTTATATGTAACATTATAATCACAAGAAAGTAAGAATATACTGCTAAATACCTTAATTGTATAAATTATAATGGTATTAATATTTAATGTTTATTTAATGAATAGTGTAAATATAAAAGGGGACTTGACTATCTTCTCGGTGGTCAGTGTTCAATCTGTTATTGACAACACTTATCGAACTTAGACTTAGATCACGCAGTTCATCACATAGCCTTTATTATCAATGGTAGTTAGACACATTGCTGTGAGTTTATAAATACACTAACCGACAATACAGAAATCATATCTAATGATAGTCAAAATTGACAATAAACACCCGTGTCTGTGGCAGCGATGTCATAAAAAACTAAAAAGTGATAAATAAATATAGTTTAAAAGCGTGTTTTTTTAGATTTTATAAACTATATTTTTTAGAAAATATATTTTCAAGTATATATAGTTACTAGGCTCCGCCTAGCTGGGTATTCGCCTAAGACTCGGGACCCTACGAGCTTTACGCGACTTCGGCCTTACGGTCCGTCTTCATTAGTAGGCCCCTGATTTTGGTAGGAGTACCCAAAAATTATAACAAAAATATATTAAAAATTGTATTATTAAAATCAGGAAAATTCAAAAGAAAATATAGTAAAATGTGTAGGATGTTGACGTTTGCTAATAAAGTATTCCCCTTAGGCGTATTCAAAAATTAATTTGTTATATAATTATAACATATAACATTCCTTGATAAAATATATATATAAAATATGGTGTTGTCTATAAATGCAAAATAGTGTCCTAATAAAAATACATAATATACAAATTAATGTTCAAAATATATGTATGCGCAGAAATTAGTCAATCCCCATATTAAAACCATGCGCGTGGACTTGAAAAAAAAAACTCATAAAACGGTGAAAAATGAACGGATTGAATGGATTTTTTTATTATATATCAGAAATGTCATTAGGCGGATCTAGTAAAATTTCAAACCTTAAGCCGAAAACGCTGGCTTCAGCGAGCGTTTTTCTCAAAATCGGTCGAAATTTTAAAAAGCTCACGGGCGAGTTGCAAAAATTTGCCGACCTTCGCTAATAATTTTCCCGGAGTCTGATGANGGCAAAAATTTTCCGACCTTCGCTAATAATTTTCCCGAAAATTTGATGACCGAATAATTTATTTGAAAAAAAAAATTTAACGTCAAGTAATTTTCCCAGAAAAGCGTTTTTTCCTTTTCTATTATATAAAAAGATAGTTTAATAGATATAATTACATATATGAAAATGACTCGTTTTTTTCTTAAGTAAATAGAAAATTTTAAATTAAATGTTGCTTCGTGATAAACTTTTGCGACGTAAATCGTGTTAAAGTAAAAGTATACAACACCTGTTTTAAGACGACCACGTAAAGTTTTCATCTAAAAATAAAGTAACTGATATATATTCGTATATAGTACGTGGCATTTTTATTCAAAATACTTTCCAGTTAGTAATTAGACAATCATAATTTCAATTTAACCGTTTAAATTTTAAAACTTTCTTAAATAAAAAAAATTTTCAATAATTAAAAAATGGTAAGTATGTCCAATACAAGCAGACTTATATTTCAGGCTAAGCTATAAAAATTTGATTGCCATTAAAAATTAATTTTTTATAATTTTAACATTTGAAAAAATAATTTTCAGTGATGTAAAAAAATCTAACTTATGGCTACCAAAGTTTTAAAAAATTGCTAAAGTTTTTTTAACTATCAACTACTAGATACTATTGGCGTAATAAATATTATAACAGTCAAATTATATTACTTATGGTCTTCTATTAATGAAGATGATAATACTACAACACTAATGCATAAAAAATGTTTTAATTATTTTTTCAGATAACAGTTAACTCATTAATAGCAGCGACATTGGTATATTTCTTAATACAATTATTAGGTAATATGGAACACATTATTTTTTTATTCGCCATTATTAATTTGAAACAAAATGGATTATACTAAAGATTTTAGGTTTAGTGTAATTTTCAAATGACAAATATCTCTTCTCAAATTTAATGATTTAAAAATGTTTTCTTTATACATGATCCAATTATCCAATATTTTTCTAGAAAAAAAATTAGTAAATTTAAATTATTAAATAAATTACAATTATTATTTTTAATTTTTTTAGGAGTCTCTCCAGATTCTGGTAAGTAATTGATAAAAATAAAATTTTTATCTTATAATTGTCATCTTTTCACAATACTATCTTATTTATACATGTGTATTTTAGATTTATACTTAAAAAAGTTTCTGTTATTTAAAACTTTATAGTTCTTATAATAGTCTCATACTATTTTAGACATCCTTCATATAGTAATTAATTTTGTTATTATACAGGAGTTTCAGAATGGGTGGACAGTGATGGTATGTTCATTATTTTAACAAAGTTAAAAATATAATTTAAAATTTCTAAAAATGAGCAAGACATGAATAACGTTTTCATAATTTTTTTTTTTTGATATCGAAAAATATAAAAAACATTTCATATCAATTTAAATATATTATTGTTCTATATAATATTATTGATTACGTTAAACAATACTTATTAAAAAAAATATATTCTTTTTAATAATTATATTTTATAACGTTATGTAAAAAATAAGAGTGTTTGCCTTTTTAATTATCACAATAATAAGTTATGTTTTGAATAACTTTTAAATGTTAAACGTTAAAATGTAATAACTTAAAAATTTCTATAAGGTTTAAATGTTACAAAACTTTAAACATTAATTATATAATGTTTAAATGTTGTTGCCGCCTGGGCTGTTCTAAAAAAATCCAAAATAAAAATGGGGAATAGAACTCCGCCGTATGGCTTAACATAGGGGCAACTAATAATCAACAAAAAAAGTTTCTAATCAATTTAAAATTGACAAAAGAAAAATATATTTTGTTAACACAAAATAAGCTTACCCAGCCCAACTACTATCATAACATGAAACTACAAAGTGAAAAATAAATATAGTTTAAAAGCGTGTTTTTTAGTTTTTTTAAACTATAATTATTTTGAATAAAACGACCAAACAATACAGGCCCCTGATAAGACGTCCTAACAGCTGATGGCACAAAAGCACTACCAGCTGACCACAACCAACCAGTGCAGCTCTCACGCTTGATGCGAACAAATGTTTAATAGTGTTAAATTCAATTAGAAGATTTTATACTGTATTTTAAACTGAAATACGTTTTAAAACCTGCCCTGCATATTAACGACCATTAGTTATACAAATTTGATACCCTACTTAACCAATAAGTTATTATTTAATAGTATAATATAATATAACCTAACCAAATATTGGCTATAATTGGTTAAGCTCATAACAAAGTAATTATAAATAATTTTTATTTATAACTAGTTTATTCATACTTTCAGAAGATTCGTGTTTTTGTAAGTAAAAATGGAGTGCTATTGAAGGGATATTTCTTCAACTTAATTTTTATTAGTGCTGTATTATCATGTCATATTATACGTATAATTAATAAAGCTTTTGATTATTAAATTTGTGATATTAAATAGTTTTCGGTGATTCACAAGGTAAGTTATTTCTTTATAATATCTATTCCTTTTATTTTTTATTTAATTTATTGGTATTCTAAAATGATTTAACTACAAAATATGTATTTAAATGAATTTAAACACTGTTAACTGTTAATTTGATCTGAAAAAAAATGGGAAATTATAATTATGTAAATAAAAAAATAAGTACAACACAATACTAAATAATTCATACAGAATGATTTTCCATCATTATCCACTTTATTAATTGAAAAATAAAAATAAAATTAATAATTTTTTTATTAGTTTCTCATTATTCTCAATTTATAAATCATGTTCTTATCATATTTATTGTTTATCCCTTATATATTTTAGCGTAAACAGGCCGTTGTTGGCTGTGTGACATTCGTTAGATTTTGTACCGTGGCGTATGGTACGCGGTATTAGTCCAGTCGAACTACACATAGTGTGCGATGCCTGATAAATGTGTCACGGGGCGCGGGACTCCGTTTAACACGAAGCGATATTGGACACAGTACCGCGTCGCTTATTATTATATTATTAATAAATTTTGTAATTTATTATTTCAGATGAAAATTCTAGTAAGTAAATATGTAATTTTTATTATTGGATATTAATTAAAGTTAATTTTAGTTTTATGCGTAGCTAAGAAGCTGTTGGGTTTTACTCTACTTTGTTTCTTTTTTTTTGTGTATATATACGCTTATTTTTCTTCTGTTATTCTCAATGATACGTCAAAAGGTTAACAAACGTATTTAGTTAAAGCTATCAGCGCCATAATTTTTAAAAATTCCCGGTATTAAAGAGAAATAAATACTCAAAAAAGTACAATAGTTAATATTAATGTTATTATGTTTCCCTTTTTATTAAAATAAATTTATGATAACTGGACAAATTATTGCAAAATTTTTAGTTCATACTCCACACATTTGCTTTGCTAACGACATACTTTCTTAGAAAATTTAATCATTAACTAAGTTTTTGCGAGGTTTAAAAATTATCAACATTTTTTTCTTTACAATTTTTTATATTTTTCTAAAATACCTACCTTCTTTAAACTTGAATCAAATTATTGGTAATACAACACACTTTAGAATAATTAAAAAAAAAAACTATACGAAATTTCGATTTTTGGAAGTTTTTTATGCATTACATTTACAATACTACAATTTTTAGTAAACATGGCTGCATTTGTAGAGTTTTGTATAGCAGCAGAACAACTATACCATTTAGAGCTAAATCAAATCAAAGGTTTTTTATGAAATATACGATTAAAATAACATTTCAAAGTTCTATCTTCTATGAATATTCGATCTTTCAAGTCGATAATCATGTGAATTTTTGTATATATGATAAATTGCATTATTTAAATAATGCTTAGATAAAAATGAGATTTTCGGTGGTAATTATTTAACACAAGTACCTTAAATTCAGCATAGTTTTTTTGCTTTATCAAAATACTGAGAGGGGGAATTCATCATATCATATTCTCTTACTATTAATTTTAAAGTGAAAACTAAACATTTCAACTGTCCTTTATAAAACAAATATAACTTTATTACGAGGTTTGAGAGGTATTTTTTAAAGTTATGGACACTAATAGCTTTTATTAGACACATTTTGTGCTTTTTTGACACATAGTTGAGCAAAATCGGTTTAATAATTGTGTATTGTAATAAATAAAAAGTAAAATTATCAGTGATTGTAGATATACTGGATATACACACCATTGATTTGAATAAATGTTTAAATAATCAGAAACTTGTTTTTATTAATTTTCATACGTAAAGTTGTTTCCCAAAGTGTATAAGAGTGTTGTGTGATACAGCTGAAATTTATATTTATTTTTATATATTTAGTAGGATGTCTGGTTTTGTTGTTCATGACATATTCGTGATTTGATATAGCATCCAGTATTTCGTTTATTTGATAATTCTGTGAATAATTTAGTACTAATAAAATCTTGAGTAATAACGTTGTTTGTATTAGTGGAAATTTTTTGTTATCGTTTATAAAAACAAAAAAAAAAGTTTGTATGATTCGAGTTTCATAGATATTAATATCGAGATGTAGGATAATTTTCCAAAGATAATCATAAAAATGTATTATTTAAAACTGGAAAATCGTGATATCATTGTTAAATTTGTTATTACAAAAAAATTGAAGTACATAATAAGACTAGAAATTGCAGCTAAAGTTGTAGCAATGATATTAGCAAGTGTTTGCTGGGTATTTAGCTGTTGTCAGGCATCACTCGTAATAAACAAAAAGTATAAATACCGGTGATTGTAGAGTATTTCGGAAGTGGTTCGTATACGGTCTGTAATAAACAAAAAGAGCCACGAGAGTGTAGGTGGCGAAGGAATGTTGTTAAATGAGTTTGGGGCTCGGGGTGTGAAAGGGAAGAAATGTAACACAGGTGGCCAATAAGGAAATAATAATCGTAGCAGGCGTAGGGTAAAAAGGATGGGTACCAATGGAAAGTAAAAGTGTCTATAGATACCCGGTAGTGACTACAATAAAATGAAATAGAAAGGGATCTCGGGGTATGTATGCTTGTGTAAAAACGTCTAATATATGAATAAGATGGAATTACAAAGAAGGGTCACTACCTAGCTCCTGCACAGAAACGCGCACACTAATTTCCGGCGACTCACAAATATCGTGTTTTTTATAAAAATATTTTAATTTACTCTCAATGACCTATCTTGTTCTAATTGTTTATTACTAAAAAAATTCTTCAGTAAAGGATCTATTATAAACTTATTATATAGACAAATGTTTCACTTACCTCTGACTATCCTGATATTCTCTTGAGATGAATGATGTTGTTGATGTAACAATTATCAATGTATACGTTTACGCATTAATATACGCAATTATATTTATACGGTTTATATTATTACTAACTCGCGTGTAACTACTTTTCTAGTACAATTCTATATTAAATCCACTGAAGGTGAAGTCTAAGTTTATTATAATTCTGTCTTTTGTAAAAACCTTTTGTATATTTATGTAGTATAGTTCTTAATCTTGTATATGGTGTTTTACCTTAATATATCTAATATTTAACAATTTATAAAGCAAATAAATAACTTCTAAGCAACATAACTGTCCTGTGCAACAAACTATTTCCAAGTGGCCTACGTCTTTTCAGTCGTCCAAATAGTGATCTAGGGTAGATGCGAGCTCAATTTCAATTCTTTGCACAATAGATTATACTAGTGTCCTACACTCCGATTGCCGGCACTATGGCATAGATCAGACTAGCTGGTCGATAAGTGGAGAGACACTTTTAGTATGATGTTAGTTATAAATATATATTAGTAAAATATTAGTTTTTAGTATAATATTTCGACTCTGATTTATTTGTATTTCGTAGCTGGATATACCAACGCGAGATCTCAAATAATATCTTTGTCTTTATGCAAAGAACCTTATGATATGTGGCCTACTTCTTTTCAATCACCTGTAGGACGACCTAGGTTAGATGCGACTGTACTATAGATTTATGCACGATAAGTTATGTTAGTGTCCTACACTCCGATTGCCGGCACTATGGTATAGATCAGACTAGCTGGTCGATAAGTGGAGAGACTCTTTGAATAAATCTTATAATTAACTAAAATTCTAATTATGATATTATTGTACTATTACCCTGTCCAGCCAGGTTGTGGCCCTTCAATAAGTAATAAATACAATTCAATCAAATTAATTACCTTAGAATATCTAATGTATACTACAAAATAATATTAATAATTTATGCGTTGTAAATTATATAAGTGTCCTACACTCCGATTGCCGGCACTGTGGCATAGATCAGACTAGCTGGTCGATAAGTGGAGAGACACTTTGAATAAATCTTATGATTAACTAAAATTCTAATTATGATATTATTGTACTATTACCCTGTCCAGCCAGTTATAAAGTTAAAAATAAAAAAATTAAATCGAGAATTTTCACACAAAAATAGCATTCGGTAGCCATTTTCACCGTGAAGATAAAATAAAGTCCGAAATTTTTTTTTCCATAATAAAGTGCATTACATTAACATTAATTAAACATATATATATATAAGTGTCAGACTTTCCGTAACACATTCAAAATTTAAGTTGAAAAAGTAAATTTTTTCTGAAAAAGTTGTCATTTTGAATCCCACCCTGTAAGCAGGTAAAAAGTCAGATTTATAAAAAAATTATACCAAATGATAGTTAAAGAGATCATGCATTCATAAAAAGAAGAATTATATTGATCTATACATCTTTCAAAAAGTTATAGCATTATAAAGTTAAAAATATAAAAAAGGATTTTTTTTATCAATTTTGATATCTGTTTTTACCATGAAGATAAAATAAAGTACGAAATTTTTTTTTTGCATAATAAAGTATATTACATTAGCTTTAATTTAAGATATATATAAAAGTGTCAGACTTTCCGGAACACTTTCAAAAGTTAAGTTGAAAAAGTTCTACTTTCTACATGCTTTTTTTAGATTTAAACCCCTCTAGCCAGCAGATCATATAATATAATATAATATGGGAAAATAGTCCGATTAAAAAAAAAGTATTTCAAATGAAAGATGTATATAAATACTACTTCTCATAAAAAGATTGTATTGATCCATACATTTTTCAAAAATTTATACAATAATAAAGTTAAAAATGTAATATACAAAATCGAAAATTTTCACACAAAAATAGCATTTGGTAGCCATTTTCACCGTAAAGATAAAATAAAGTCCGAAAATTTTTTTTTTCATAATAAAGTATATTATATTAGCTTTAATTTAAGATATATATAAAAGTGTCAGACTATCAGGAACATTTTCAAAAGTCAAGTTGAAAAAATTAATTTTTTCTGAAAAAGTTGTCATTTTGAATCCCCTCCTGTGGGCAATTAAAGGGTCAAATATAAAAAAAAATATACGAAATGAAAAGCAATGATATCATGCATCTATATAAAAAAAAAATATATATATAAAAATATTATTGACTTTGTTTTGTCTTTTATGTGCAAATGGTCGTAAACGTTTTGTTAAACATCTCAAAGTTCAGAAATTTTTATAAAAATTGGACGGAATGTGGAAAATTTTTAGTTTATCTTTAAACATTTGTTTTGCTAACGACATGCTTTCTGAAAAATCTAATCACTAAACTAAGGTTTTTCAATAGCTTAAAAATCATCATTTTTTTTTTGTCTTGTAATTTATGAAATGTAATATTTTTGGATATATATCTTTTTATGATGATTGAGAGGAATTTTTAAAGTTATGGCACTAACTTTTATTCGATACATTTTGTGTTCTTTTGACGTATCGTAGGGCAATATTGGTCTACTAATAGCAGAGTAATTGTGTGTATGAAAACAAAAATAAATACACGACAAAGCAAAAGCAAAAGCTTCTCAACTGCGCATCAAAGCACGTATAATATCCTATTAACCAATAATTATGTTAGCACTAAATATTGCAGCAAAGTTATAGTAACTTTACGTAATTATTATTTATAACTTATTTGCTCAAATTTTCAGAGACTGTACGATCTAGTGAGTAGTTATGTTTATTATTATTGTGTTTACTTTGCTCCTTTTAGCTGCTCCACACCTGATGCCTACGAGACTCGTGCACTTTTGATGCTATATGCCCATCGTGCCGTCTTTACGGGTAGGCTACTGATTCCGTTAGGATTACTCAGTATTGTATGTTTCACGGCACAACAATACACACACATACAATTTGCAGTAGGACGTTAAAGGTATAGAAATAAAAATACAGACTTCCTGAGAAATCGCACTGTATCATCATAGATAAATCTCCGGTGTCCGGTGATTTTTCAACTTAACTTTTGAAAGTGTTCCAGAAAGTCTGACACTTTTATATATATCTTAAATTAAAGCTAATGTAATATACTTTATTATGCAAAAAAAAAAATTTCGGACTTTATTTTATCTTCATGGTAAAAACAGATATCAAAATTGATAAAAAAAATCCTTTTTTATATTTTTAACTTTATAATGCTATAACTTTTTGAAAGATGTATAGATCAATATAATTCTTCTTTTTATGAATGCATGATCTCTTTAACTATCATTTGGTATAATTTTTTTATAAATCTGACTTTTTACCTGCTTACAGGGTGGGATTCAAAATGACAACTTTTTCAGAAAAAATTTACTTTTTCAACTTAAATTTTGAATGTGTTACGGAAAGTCTGACACTTATATATATATATGTTTAATTAATGTTAATGTAATGCACTTTATTATGGAAAAAAAAAATTTCGGACTTTATTTTATCTTCACGGTGAAAATGGCTACCGAATGCTATTTTTGTGTGAAAATTCTCGATTTAATTTTTTTATTTTTAACTTTATAATGCTATAACTTATTGAAAAGTGATTGGATCAACATATTTTTTTTATGAGAAATAATATTTTTTAATAATCCCTTTTTCCTTCGACATACTTTATCTGAATCAGAATATTGAAAACGAACCAGCAGATCATGTTGCTTTTGGAATAATCCACCAATTTTTTAAAATTAAACCCTATCTAAAGATTTGCATCGAAGCATTTTTTTTTTGATAATGATTTTAATCACTGTCAGATATCATAATACTTAATCCAACTATGCCACGTCACCACTGTGCTGGGTTTTTTATTATAGATTATCGTAACAATTAAATTTTTATTTTTTGATATTGTAACATAGGTCATTATTTTATAAAACTGAAAACAAAGCATTTTTGTAATGTTTGGTTTAACTATGAATTTCTTGATCTATTATTACTAAAATATAATATAGTCTATTATTTGTAAACCTAGAAGTAGAACACTTTTGTAATGTTTGGATTAATTGTAATTCCCCGAATTATTGTTACTAGATCAGGAAGTAAATATTTATAAACATTTTTGAAAATTATTGCATTATGAATCTCTTGATCTATTATTACTAAAATATAATATAGTCTATTATTTGTAAACCTAGAAGTAGAACACTTTTGTAATGTTTGGATTAATTGTAATTCCCCGAATTATTGTTACTAGATCAGGAAGTAAATATTTATAAACTTTTTTGAAAATTATTGCATTATGAATCTCTTGATCTATTATTACTAAAATATAATATAGTCTATTATTTGTAAACCTAGAAGTAGAACACTTTTGTAATGTTTGGATTAATTGTAATTCCCCGAATTATTGTTACTAGATCAGGAAGTAAATATTTATAAACCTTTTTGAAAATTATTGCATTATGAATCTCTTGATCTATTATTACTAAAATATAATATAGTCTATTATTTGTAAACCTAGAAGTAGAACACTTTTGTAATGTTTGGATTAATTGTAATTCCCCGAATTATTGTTACTAGATCAGGAAGTAAATATTTATAAACATTTTTGAAAATTATTGCATTATGAATCTCTTGATCTATTATTACTAAAATATAATATAGTCTATTATTTGTAAACCTAGAAGTAGAACACTTTTGTAATGTTTGGATTAATTGTAATTCCCCGAATTATTGTTACTAGATCAGGAAGTAAATATTTATAAAATAATGACCTATATTACAATATGTTACAGCTTGTTATGCGTGTCAAGAAGTATTTCGCAAAAATAGAGAAGAAATAAATTTGACTAATTGTTGTAAGAACACTGTATGTGATAATTGTTTTCATGAAAAATATTCTCAGTATATTGTAAGAATTCAAAAACAGTGTCCATGTTATAAGGAGTGTAGTAGTAGTGGTAATTCTATTTCAAATATGTTACATAAGTTTCTAAATTCTAAATATATTGTTGGCAACAACGTTAGAAAAGACACTATAAAATGTTTAGACAAAGAATGTCGAATTTGCTTTGGGCATTCAAAAAATTGAAAATACAGTATTTCTCTATTTGTCCACGTATTATTTGTAAAAATTGCTCCAAAATAATGAAAAGTACCAATAATATCAACACCCATTTGTAAGACATAATGTTACATAAAGAAAAAAATGGATACAATGCTTTTCTGAAGATGCCTTGACATATTTTGTAATGACTCTGTATAATATCGTTATCTAAACATAATTTTGAAATTTATTAAGCAAATTTTAATTAAAAAATATGTATTAACATCTCAATTTTCTATCAATTATAATTTTAATTGTCTTATTAATAATAGTAATTTGTATTCTCAGTTTTATTTTACTTCCTCATTATTTTAATTACTTTATTTAAATTTTTAATTAGAAAAATTTCATTATAAAAAATTTTAAATGTAATATTCATAATTTAATTTTGATTCACACTGATATAATTACAAATGTATTAAAATAATAGTTATAATTAAAAAAAATCATAAATAGGAATAAAACAAACAGTAATAGAATTTCTCTTAATATAATGCTGTATTTTTTAAGAATAAACATTTATAAAATACAAACGCTTACACAATGATTCAATTTTTAATACCCATATTCGTGTATTATTGAAAATATTTTAGAAGTAGATTAAATGTACTTTTTATACTATAAATAAATATTATTAATACATATAAGTATATGTATAAGTAGGGTAATTTAGAGAGAGCTGGAACCCCCCCCCCCGCCC